GCTCTTCAGATTAACAGAGGTAGCCAGCCTGGTTAAAATTTACCCTTGACAACTGTTCGAGCGCATTAAAGGATTTGCATAGTTCACTATGATGTTCAGCACGAGGTTATTCGCACATTCGCATGCATCCCTCACAGCGATCACGTATAGAAACATTATAGTGTAGCTGCGCTGGGATGACTTGGCCTCAGTAAACAACTTCTTATTCTGGGCAGGTTTGATCTTTCTGTTGAAGGTCTGAAGCCACATTTGCATAGCATGATCAAAGTTCAGGCTATTAAATCACCAATTTTTCACCTGACATCAGTAATACATCTGTGCCATTCCGGCTAGGTTCGGCCAATACGTCGAACTTGATGTCCTCGGTCCACGTGAAACCGCAAGAAAGCTCCTAAAAGGCAACTTGTCGAGCAAATTTTTTGCCCCATTCAATAAAGTCACTACCAAGTCTGAGGGTGAGCTCCTTCCCGCTATAAGGTTGCAAATACAGCTTCCTTTCGCTTCCACCTGGTACACCTTCGTGTACATGCTCGGTTTGATGTAATATCGGACCTGGCACATGCACGCCCGGGAACATCCCTGCGAGTGCATGTTGTCCTGGATACAATGATTCTTTTCCACTGACCCTACCATCGTCGACTCCGAGTACAGCCGTGGGTGAAAAATAAGATCCCTAGCACGGGCTTGTAGTCTAGCAGCAAAATACGTTGACGGTGAAACGCTCGGAGAACGTTTGGGTGGCAGGGTATGCTTTAAAGACTGTGGCTTCATACCGGCTCTTACGCCGAGAACCAAATCATAGACGCTTGACTTCGCAGATTCCCTGCGCTTGCCGTACACTTTTACGTACTAGGAGAATTGTATCTTACTTATCCGCTCCGTCAAGATGCTCTGATTCAGTTGTGGATCTTTTGTTGCCACGAAGCTCGATGAATGCAGTGCATTATTTAAAAATTTATTATAGAGTTTGCGCAGGGTTTTCGACTCAAATGAATAGCCATATTTTGATCATGTTTTTTGTAGTGATGTCCATCGTTGGCACACACTTTCGTTTCCAAGGTAAGCACTAGATCTTCATCGGGTTCAGATCAGATGAACGTGTCGGACATTTGATCACCTTCACTTTCTGCTTATGCTTACTAAACATTTCGTTGTCAAACTAGCAGTATAAGTGGACGCCTTGAAATTCTTGAAGACTTAGTTTGCACTACAGTGAAAATGTGTAAATGAAAGCAGAAAATACGATAGTGTGGAAGAGGCTTTGAACTTGGGACGTGAATTGTAGGCCATTTGAGCGAGGGTTCACTAAAAGTGGGATGCGGTTCAGCTCTCAGTGGAAATTTATGGTCTGTGCTACAGGGCGGTTTGGAGTATACAAAGTCCAATATTTTAATACATCTTTATCCCATTAAAGATCAAACGTTTTTTTACCTGGAAGACAGATGTTACAGGAAATCGAGTATAAAGTGACCGATAAAAACAAGAACCTTTTGGGAAAGCCAATGTGGTACATATTTCTACAATTCGGTTAATTCGGATGGAATGATCTAGGACGGGTCAAGACAGTTATGGGTGATTCAAGAGAAACGACATTAAATAGTACCAAGGAGAGATTCAACGTCGATTTATAAAATGGAGGGGTACCATGTCCGCGATCGATGATGTTCTATAGGTATTCGGGCGTCGATCTGGTTAACATTTTGATGGGATATTGAGATCTGTTTGAGAAACGGATCGGTAGTGATCCCCCGCTATGATAAAAATATACGATGAGGCGGCCTGATGATGATGACTATACTCCAGTGACGGTATGGAAGGATATCATGAAAGATTCGGATAAAAAGAGACGGCAGGTAGCGTTCAAGGCAACTCCACGAAGGCATTTCTGATGTTTGTATGGGTTCTCGATATTTGGATACATTGCCCGATACTGTTATGCATTATCGATGTTTAATGAAAAGTGGCTATACGGAGAAAGAAGTGTCATTGTTTAAATTTAGACCACAGAATATAGACTTGTGTTGAATGGGCGACCTGGATGAGGTTAGTATCAGTTTGAAGAGTACTCAGCAGGGTAGGGTAAGCAAAGTGCAATTTCTTCGCTAATATTTGTTTGGCTATCAACAGACTTGAATTATGCTCCTTCTGCAAACGACACACTTTCCCTTTCTCCGGGGGACACATTTTTGTCTTCTCGATGACTGAAGGCACACGTGTTCTAAGGCAAAGAAAACCGATCCTGGAACATTTATTCGAGATCGCGAATACCGATACCGGATTGTTTGGCCCTGATCGCGCAAGATCTCAAGACATGACTACTGCGATTGAACGCATCGAACACAGAAAATGACTAGGTGACCAAAGTTGACAAGGCGATCTGAAACATACCAATTTACAGATTTCGAAGTGATCTATAGGTTAGATCAGGCGTACAGGAGATCAAGAGGTGAAATCAAGTGAGATAATGCGTCTTTGACAAGAACAAAAGTTTTAAAATCAGATCGGAGCGATGTCAAGTGGGATTGGCACAAGAAGACCCCGATCTCCATGTGGAAATTTACACATAGTGATCAACCTTGATGTCAAACCTTAAGCTGAATCCAGCTCAAATGACGGGTACGCAGGGTGAGCACATGGCTATACGACAAGGCACAAATCATAATACCCCCTACGTAAGTCGTCATGTCCGGGCAAGTGATCGATCAAGACTCACATCAGCAATTGTGTGAGATCAACTTTGTCACTATAGTGTAAACACATAAAGCTCAGATGCTTGCCTCCAGTGAGAACTGCTATACCGTACTTCTCCCTCGCACTACATGCTACCCAAAACATGATCAATACACAATTATTTTATCTACGGACGGTCCCACAAGGCGGGCAGCACAGGTCATGTTAGTGGTTATTGAAACAATCAGGGCCGTTGCAATCGAATGTTCATTTTCATCCGACAAAATAACTGCATCCAATTCACTCCCATCATCACGTGACTTTGGTACCAAATCCGTCTCACCTTCTTGTGCTCTAGTGTAAATGTTAGGGCTCAGTTCAGTTTAGTGTAGATAATCCTGTCAACACCAAGGACGATACAGCGACAGGTCCGCGCAAAGCACTTGAGGTCCAGCTTGTCCATCAACTGGACATTCTTACAACTTTTCATTACTGCCTCTAGCACGACACGAAGCAACTAGCGGTTCAAAGAAGGATGGGACAGAGTATCGTGCTCTCTACTTTCTAAAGCTGCAATGCAGCTTGAAAACACGTGCGCAAGCGCCAAAGACGCCTCGTACTGTATATGACAGGGTGCAAACCTCGCGCAGATCACGTATTCTTTCCTGTCCTTCATCCTATGTTCATTTCTCATTACTTGCAGAATGCCGTTAAAGGAGCGTCTTTTCTCTCATACTTGACCGTGATTATTGCATGGACAATGGTGGCCTATCTTTTTGACACGTTCACTTCTCGACATTTGTATGGTAGACCCCCCTACGAGCTGCCAAAACCGGACCGATTGCACATGCAGCCTATTAAACACGCCTACAGATAGATTACGTTCAAATCGAAGTTCTTCATTCGTAGTAGTTGCTGAGTTTTCGAAAAACGTGGGGTGTACTTTATTTTTGGCCCGTAGTGTAGTAAGTGATAAATTTCTCATGGTGATGGCCTTTTATATCCTATACCTTAGCTGCTAGAGGGTGGCGCAAAGAGGCTCGTCAGGTCGCAATCTTTACCTGAACACCCATCTACGGCATAGATATCCGGCATAGAAGTGCCTTCTCCTCGAACTTCTACATGCAATATAACGGGACACCGCTTGATTATACAGTCACGGTACAAGCTGCTTACACTGTACACAGAGTAAAGTGGTGCCTCGAGACTTATCGTACATGCGTCGTGATTGGAGGAAGGTTTCAACATGAGATAATGGGTAAATGTAGAGCTGTATCTTGTATATTTAATCTACAGTTGATAAATCACATTTGGTCTTCTTTAAACGATGTCTAAAACAAATATGCAATGTAGCTGCCTTTTTCACCATTCATTGCGTTCTTCTGTCGTGGCTCAGCTTTATTGGTTAATACCATTCATATGTATTGACTATTGAGCTGTGTATTACTTCTGCACCGCGATAGTGCTTGTTAAGCCAATATTGTGAGAACATATCGTTTGTTCTAACATAAAGTTCATGCTTGATACCTATCTTATGTAAAGTATCATATAATGGAGGCACCCCGTTACATGCATCGCAGCAAGAATGGAAAACCAAGGAGTGATAGTTTCGAGACGGGAGTAAGGGCATGACTATGATGGCGTGGAGCTTGCAAGCGCTGTTGTAATTGACACTCGTGATGTCTATGCGAGATCTTAACGTAGTAGTCGAATCTTTCCGCATTGTTAATTCGGATTCCTGCTATAAGGGTGAGATGGCCATACAACTCGACTGTCTCCGTCTGGCTCAAGTATTGAGTTGCCACAATCCACGACGGGCCCTTCTTCGGCAGTAGAGACGTGGTTAGTAGTTGCGAAGTGGCGTTTCTAAAAAAAGCGCTGCAAGTTGTGTGCAATATTGAGAAACGGCACAACAATTCCACACCCTTCGTCACGACGACGTCGTCTGTTTTTCTGCTACTCTTGCTGATAGAAACACGAACGTCGTTATGCACGCTTATGCACCACTGTATACTTCTTCGCGACTGGTCGTTCGTTACCTGATACACTCACTAATAAAGTGTGAGAGTCTCAAGCGAACGAGCGAGCGATAGCGATGGACGTAGGGAATAAAATCTCGATTTTTGGCTAGGCACGTTTTGACAATCAGGCAATCAAAGCAGATGGGCGTCCGAAGCGACGGAACTACAATATGGAATGCTCTATATATGCAGTTCCGAAGGTTCGTTACGCATTGCGCCCCCCTGGCTCCTTCAGTCTCAAACACGCGCAGCAGTGAATAGTGCCGACTATTGCCGTCGGTTTAAGGCTGTTTTGGCTCGAAAGACGCGATGGAGACAATGGATACACTCGAGCAACATCACGATGAGCAGCAGCAGACGGAGGTAGACACAAGCGAGCGAGCTGGGGAGACTGTGACGGATACAACAGTTGAAGAGGCCACGTCTGTTACGACAGTTGGAGAGCATCAAGTATCCGAGAGTTTTGGCGCTGCTGAGGTCCCGACAGTTGGAGAGACTACGTCAGTTACGACAGTTGAAGAGACTGTGACGGATACAACAGTTGGAGAGACCACGTCGGTTACGACAGTTGGGGAGCATCAAGTATCCGAGGGGTTTGTCGCTACAGACGATAGTGTCCGGATCAGTGCCGCGACTGTCGAGTCGATCACCGAGACCATTGCAGCGAGTGGAAGTGCCAATGTGGACGTCGACGACTCAGTGGCTGCTACGCTCACAAGTTCTGTGGATAGGGAGAGTCTGGAGACGGACAATCGAGTTGAGGAAGAGAGTGGTGCAGCCAAGAGCAGCGCCGAAGCAGATGCGATGGATGAGGGTACAGGAACCGAGGGGGACAAAGATGCTGAGCGAGGGATTCAGGCAGGGAGAGATTGGGAACAAGGGGGTACTGAGCTTACGACAACGATAATGACGACGACGGTGATGACTGGACTGCTAGTTGGGGTGGATGAAGATTCGAAAGTGGCTGTGGAGGACGAATGTGCTGAAAACGGGGCGGCTACGGAATTGGAAGCTGGTGCGACTGATAGTGCAGGGGCTGTTAGTGGTGATGCTGATGACACGACTTTGAACGAGAACAAGAGAGAGACTTGCCAACGAGTGCTGAAGACGTCTCAAGACGCATCGTCTGAGCTTAGCGACGATTCTGTGCTTTCGAGTCAATCTTGTGATGCGATGTCTGCAGCTGCTGAGACAAGCGTCGGGGAGCCGATGCAGGGCGCTGGGGCTTCGAAAATGACGTCGCCAAGAAGATTGTCATCCATGATATCGCGCGAAGATGATGAAGTTACACATACGGAGGCCCAACGTACTGACCCAGCGGCAGAACTGGAGCTCAATTTGTCGTCACCGGTCGAAAGTATCGTGCACGAATTTGAAGCCCATGAACCAGCGTCGCCGCAGACTCATCGCACTCTGTCGGCCACACGATTGGATGCCAGTGGATCCTCGCCAGTAAAAAATGTGGTGCACCGCCTTGAAGCGCATCATGAAGAGGATAACGCCTTGGAAAGTTTGAAGATCCGAACGAAACGCGACTTCTTCTCGGAGAAGGGACGAAGCATTTCTGTCAGCCATGAAGCAGAGAAATATAATTCTCAGATGGCGCAGCGTGCAAAAGAAGAAGTCGAATCGAAGGAACAACCAAATTCACCTGCTATGAAGCAAAGTCCAGTATCCAGAAGGAGCTCTGCGATGTCCAGCGTGCGGAACATGGCCAGTCGCTTTGAGAAAAAGGCAGACCAATCGTTGGATAAACTTTCCTTTCGCACGGTGCGTAGCTTTTTCCCCACCGAAAAAAGCATTCATGTCGGTGTGGAGAAGCAGAAATACGAAGCACTAGAAAAGGAAATGCAAACGGCTAAGATAGCCGAAGAAAAGGGTGCAAAGCGGATGGCGACCAATGAAACTCAAAAGCCTCGACAACATATTCTGGCCGATTCAAGAGAGCTTACCGTGGAAGAGCATCTTGCTGCGGAGACCGCTGGGCAGGGGAAACCAGCAATGGGTGACATGCCTGGTACATCGACTGAACCCAACGAGACAGCTGTTGTTAAGGCTAGTTCTACTTCAGAAGCACATCCTCGTCGTCGCACGATTACTGCAGCTGAAAGTTCGGATGTCCGAAGTATAGCGCATCGCTTTGAGACGAAGCGTGCAAACTCAGTCGTCACAGCTCCCGTGCGGACCATTGACACTTTTATTGTCGCAGATAGCGAGGCGAGTGTTCGTGTATCCGCAGAGAAGGCAAGGTATGAAAATCAAGTCAAATCGTCAGCCCCCACGAAGCGAACCATTGACACTTTTATCGTCCCCAAAAGCGAAACAAGCGTTCGCGTATCCGCGGAGAAGGCGAAGCTTGAGACGCTAGAAAAACCGGTCAAGGCCATCAAGCGGACAATCGACGCTTTTATTGTGCCTGAGAGCGAAACAAGCGTCTGTGTGTCTGCTGAGAAGGCAAAGTACGAGATGCCGGACAAGCAGGCCAAAGCGACTGTACGAACCATTGACAACTTTATCGTGCCCGAGAACGAAGCGAGCATTCGTGTGTCCGCAGAAAAGGCTAAGTTTGAGACCCCGGACAAGCTTGCCAAGGGGGCATCTGTCCGGACCATTGACACTTACATCGTGCCAGAAAGCGATGCAAGCGTTCATGTGTCTGCTGAGAAGGCGAAGTTTGAGTCACTGGAACAGCGAATGCAAGCTGCTGTTCCTGCTGTTCGGACTATCGATACCTTCATCGTACCGGAGAGCGAGGTAAGCATTCGTGTAGCGACTGAAAAGGCAAAACTGGAGGCGATTGAAAAGCAAAAGAAGAGCGAACTTGAGACACAAGCGGTGATTGAGAAACAGAAACTATCGAGAGTAACGTCGTGGGCAATGGGGAGAGCTGAATCGAAGAAGGTCTGCCAGTCGGCCGGAGAGACCGAGGCTGTCGATGGCGTTACGGTGGTCGACCAGACGAAAGCAATTGGGGTGGCCGAAGGGATGGGAGCTGTTTCAGAAGCTGAGGAGAGTAAGGAGATTGAGGTGAATGAACAGACTAAGGAGTTCGAAGAGGCTGTTGATGTCAACGAGAACGAGGGCACCAAGGAGACAGTGTCCAAGGATCCTAAGCTAGATTCGGGAGCGGAGGCAACCAGGGTGGCGGAGGTGACTTCACCGATTGAGGTGGTCCCGGAGACTGAGATGAGTGTACAAGCGGACTCCGACGACGTGAAGGATGGTAAGGAATTTGGTGTTGCCAAAGAGACCGAAGTGGCCGTTGCCGAGAAAATCAGCGACATTGAATTGGTCAAGGAAAGTGGTGCTGAATCGGAGGTCAATGTAGCAGAGGATGTGGCGAGTGATTCCGTAGTGGCGGGGATGGACGAACGGGTAGAAGTGGATTTGGAGATCGAGGATACGGAAGAGATTGGGGAGGCGAATATAGGTGGTACAAGGACGGACGTCGGGGAGGCAATTACTGAGGAGTCCGAGGGAGTCACAAAAATGGAAAAGAAGGCGATCGAGGAGAGTGATTTGTTAGAAATGGCAACAAAAATGGAGGAAACAGACGACACTGACGCGAACATGGAGCCGTATGTGTTTGTGGAGTCGGGGTCGACAAAGGTCGCCGAAAACATGGAAGCGGCTGATGTCACTCTGGAAACTGAGGTCAAGGGGACTGAATTCACTGAAGAGGCCAAGGAGACTGAGGTGACCGAGAGCGCGGAGGATAGGGAGGAAGCTGCGGTGGTCGATGCTGCTTTGATCAGTGAGGGCGACGAGACGTTGGTTGTCGAAAGATCAGAAACTGTGACGGAAACACCAGAGACATCGGAAGCGTGTGAAACCGTGAAGGATGTCGAGAAAGAGACGACGGTCAGCAGCGTGCAGGAAGTTGAGGTGGGTCCCGCCTCCACCGGGGACGCCACAGTGACAGCTGAAGTAGAGGAAGCACCGCACGTGACCGAGGAGGCTAGTCGTGTTGATGTAGGAAAGGAGGCCCGAGAAATGGCGACAATAAAGAGAGCAGAGGACTCTGAAGTAGTGGCGATGATCGAGGCGGACGAGACCACAGAGGAGGAAATTGCTGTTCAAGAGGCGGCGATGAAGGATGTACAGCAAGTGCTGTCCACCCAAGACTCAGCCGTAGAATTTATTGTGGAGCGACAGACGTTCGGTGACACGGTCTCAACAGCTCAGCACGCGCACTGGTTGTCGATGCCGGTGAGTGCCAATCCCGCTCTAGCTCGTCTTCATTCCGTGCTGAGTGACCACGATCCGCTGACGGCCTATGCGCTGTATCCAAGCAGTTCGTCATCGTCCTCTGGATCGGATGAAGATGAGGAGCTGTCGTTGCCTCGTGTCCCAGCGTCGAAGCCGTTTGCGGCAACATGATTTAGAGACCATGTGTCTCTGTAGGTACTGAACATACATGAAACATCACAGTGTCATTGCTACTCAAAACTTGATGCAGGGATTTGGTAGTTGTAGGCAATCACACGCTATCGTCATTTACATGGAACGCATTGGTCATTTTCATTTAACATCACCGTCTCCTCCTTTTGCGCATAAACACACTACAAGGAATAGGTGCTTCCACGAAGAAAAGCAGGCACCACCGATACTACAACGTCGATCGTGCCCAATTTGAAACATTGAGGGCTGTTAAGAAAATATCCGCCATCACTTTACTGCGTAGAGACACATTGGACGTGGCACGAAAACGTGGTGATCATTTCTGTTGATCCAATATTAGCCTAGTTGACATTAACAATACTTGTTGTCACGTAGATGTAAGTGTGACTTCCAGCATAGCATCAACCACTTGACCGAATGATGGCCAAGCTCGATGAGCTGGTGCGAGCAACTCGAGCACAGAAGGACTGCTACGAGCAAAAGAGGCTACGGTGGGTTCGAAAGCTGTGTGAAGCCTTTAGTTTGGAAGCCATGCTGCCCCGTGGTTGACCTTCATGATTACGCAAAGGTACATCCCGACAATTTCGGACACCTGCACTATCTTAGCGACGAAGGTAGTTCACGAAAACGTGTCATACAAATTGGAGCAATTTGTCGTAGAAGTCAATCTCGTTTGCGATAGCAAGGTAGCGGAGAAATGGTCACGATACAGCGTCGATCATTACGTATGAGACGAGTTAAAAGCGTGAGACCTTCCTTATTAAAACGGCTCTGTGACTTCTCCGGTGAGCTTGCCGATTCCAGCCGACTGCTTGCAAATTTCTAGGCACCAAACGAATGTACCCAGCAGTAAGCAACTAGATCGCGAATGTACTATCCATTGCAAGCACATCGTCAAGCATTACCCTCTCGTTCTCTTTCACGAAATGACGAAACCTAGCTAGATAACGAGCTCAAGGTACGTGCGGTTGTACGTATTCACACCGTCATCCTCAAGCACCGGGTAAGCGGGTGTCAAACCATCCTGCGCGTACATATACAACGAGTTGTAGATCTTCCAGTACACCTCACGCACACGACGTGCCGGGTGGAATAGACCTTGCAGAACATACTGCAGAATCACGTGCGGGCCGAGCGCCACGCGACAGCCTTCCACTGCTTCAAACACGGCGTTAATCACATGCGGAGACGTCTCAAAAATGTTGGGCCATACAAAGTTAAGCAGGTGCACCAGCGCATCCTCGCAGCCCAAGCCAGTTACACCCAGCGCCAAGTGCTTCACGGTTGTGCATGCGGTCTGGCGATGCACCAGGTCACGGTCCATCAGCGCGTCTTGTAACAATGGTGCCACTGCATAGATATAGTCTTTGCCCATCTCACCGATGTACTCGAACATGAACGAAAACGCCTTCAGAACGCCATTCTGCACGTTCAGCTCGGGCACACGGTACTCATTCATCAGAGCCGGAACAACGGTGAATGGTGAGCACGTCTCGGCGACGATGGCAATGGCGACTGTCGTGCACACGCGGTTCTGACGTTCTTGCACTTTCAAATTGTTCAGCAAGGTGTGCAAAACATCCTGGGGGCCGATAGCCTTGGCAATATAACCGAATGTGTTGACAGCTGCACGACGAATGCCCTTTTTGTGCGCTTTTAGCATGTCTAGTAGCTCAAAACAGATACGCATCCATTCACGAGCAGATACCAAATCAGCACCGCGGTCGGCAATACGACCAACCAAATCGATACAGTTGTGAACTGCAACGCCAGCCGCAAAAAAAGCGTCGTTACCGGGAACAGTAAGGTCAAAGATGCGCTTGACACCGACGTTGCGTCGCTGAATGACACGAAGCCCAATAACCTTGACGCTGAGCTCGCCCGATGCCGCCGTGTTCTTCTCTGACACTGCAACAGATATTTGATCGCCGGTTGGAACCTCTCCTGCCGTTTGCCATTTTCCATCAAAGCGCAACAACCGGTGGTCTGGTGTGCAGACAAGCTCGCGACCGTCCTCAAACTTTAGCTCCACGCATTCACTCGACCCGTTGTCGAGGACACGCGTGCACGCCGCATCCAAGTCTGCTACCACAGTATTGCCCTCGGCAACGCGAGGACTCATCACGCGGTCACCTTCGACAAGAAGTTCAATGGACTTGGACGTACCATCGGCCATGGCAACCCGCGTTCCTTCAGCGATGCAGTTCTCCTGGACCTTTTCGTGTCGATTCTTGAGAATCGGCGTCAGACGGGGAAGCAGGTCCTTGATGGGCGGCGTCATTTTGCTCATACCAATCACATTGACGATAGCCTTAAGTGCACCCAATATACTACCTAGCACCTCAGGGTACTCTTCACCGAGGTATTCATACAGAACCACACCCATATGCCCCATGAGTGGCTCCTGGTCACACGTCTTCATGACTACAGCAATGCGATTGATCAAATCAGCTGCTTGCATGCGCACCTTTGCTGGCTTGTTGTTCAGCCGCCACTTGATTGTGCCACAAATCTGCGGTAAGTAGTTCTTCGCGCGGATACCAAGAGCATTCACCACAATACCGAATCCATCCAGCATAACGAATGTGTCATCCGACGTTTGCTCTTGGAACGCATACAGGATACCATCGATAAGTTTTTCTTCGAGTTCTGTGCCGATATCGGTGGCACCCAGGTTCGAGATAACCTTCTGAATCGCTTCCATCACCATGCGACGGTACGGCTCACTTTCATCCTTCAAGTCGTCTACTACTCGTGATATAATTTCACTTGCACCAACATTATTCGCAAGCTCCACTGTTGTCTCCACTAGCTGGCGGTAGTTTCGTCGGTCCAATGCCATGCGCCGGACCCAAAAGTGCCGGAAAAACTCAGGTAAAATCTTCTCCTTGATGTACGATGCTTCAACGCCGTCCGTCGAAACACACTGCTTTACCACCTTTAGCACGATTTTTTTCATTTCCTCATCGGGCGATTGAAACTCACGAATCAGGATCTCCATTACCTCAACTGTGTAATAGTTCGCATACTGGGCATCCATGAGAGGGATAATGAACCCGATTGCCTTCAGAAACGCCGCTAGGCCTTTGCCATGATGTTTGCGGGTACCACGCCACAGCGGTCGCAAGACTGAGTCAAACGACTCAATACCGTAAGGATGTGCAGCTTCAGCTAGAGCGGCCAGGGCGAGTGCTGTGATAGTGCGAACCTTCTGCTCATCCTCAAGCCCATGCTCGACGATTTCTACAAGATGTTTCAAATGTGGCAACACAGCGCACCCCATCAAGATCGCAACCTGCTGCACTATCTTTATACCAGTGTGTCGGGCTTGCCACGACTTGCGCGACTGGCAGACAGCCTTCAGAAAAGGAAGTAAAGCAGGGATACCCAATGCTGAGGCGACAACAGCGAAGGCGCGAGCTGTCGTATTGCGAACGTACTCGTCGTCGATATCAATATCGGGACGCATGGTAGAAATCATAGTAGCAAGACCAGCAGCCTTGGCGAGGTTCGAGATGATCTCGCGGCCTTCGACACGAGCGTAATAGTCCTCATCAATCAACAGTGGCTCAATCACCACCAGAATCTTGTGTACATATGGACGAACAAGGTCATCGAGCTTGTAAAGCACGCGGTCGATCACCTTAACCAACAAATGGCGTTCCTGATCTTCAAGAGTAGGCGCCATAAGCAACGGCAGAATCTGGTTAAACAGTGCACCAGCTCCAAATTCACGGGCCTTATCGGTGAGCTGTCGCAGTGCGGTCTTTCGCTGCGGCGGAGTGCCATTCTTAATCCTCAGCAGCAAGCGCATAATTTTACGCTCCCTAGCAGCCTCAGGGTCCAGTTCTTCTTCATTTACTTCATCCATTAGTTTGCCAAAGTATTGGTAATCCTCTGGCTTGATGAACGGCATGGAACTACCATCGCCACCCGATGGCGTTCCAATGGGCACGCCATAATCCTCTCGAGCAGGCGTAGCTTGCATAGCAAAGCCTGGAGTCTGACCCATTGGCGTAGGCGTAGTAAGCAGCTTCCGTGATGGGGTTCGGATAGGCACGTAGGACGCTGGAGGATCCAAAACTTTGTACCCCGTTGCAGGAAACAGCGCGTCAAGCTCTTCATCCGTCAACGGACGATTGCGCTCCTCGATCTCGCGTTCCCAGCGCATGCGTTGCGCCAACTCAGGTGTCAACGTTCCATTCATAATGTCCGTCATTGACGCGCCAGGCGTGAGCTGGCTATGCTTCCCCGGCGTCAAGTCGCTCAAACCCGAGACTGGTGTCTCATCCCACCGCGATCGTTTTCCCGTCCCTGCAGGCGTCACGCAACCCACATTCACGGGCGTCGCGTCCCATCTCGACACGCCTGAACTTGCCACGGGCGTTTTATCCCATCGATTCTTACGTCCGGGCGTAGCGGTTTCAGCAGTGACAGGCGTCGCGTCCCACCTCGACGACGTCCGTGCAGGCGTCACCGCTTCTGCCGTCTCCGACGCTTCCGTGTCCCACTCGGACACGCGACCCCCTTCTCCCTCTGGTGTTGGCTCTTCATCCACTACAGGCGCTTCTTGGTCCCATCGCATGCGCTTTCGACGTCGTTTCGGTGTCGCGTCGCTATCCTGCGCGTCCAGTGGCTGCCCCTTCTGCTGCAGCTGTTGCCGCTTTCGCTCCCCCTCCTCGTCTTGTTCTTTCTGCTTGAGCTGGATCTGGCGCACGACGTCGGCGCGCTCCTGCTCCAGCTGCTGCGTCTGCATGATCTCCTTGTAGCTGCGCACGGGCGTGTCATCGCCAAACGCGTCGCCACGCTCGGGCGACAAGAGGCGGTCAAAGCGCCGCTTGCGGTAGGCGTTCTCTCGGTCCACAATGCGCGTCCCGCTACGTGCTTCGGCGAACGGGTCGAAACTGTCGTCGATTCGACCATCACTCTGCTGGGAGACAAGAGACGGGACGGAGTTCAGAGTCGACTGATTCCGAGAGTGATGGTCGTTTCTGCGCTGCGGCTGCGGCTCATTTGCTTGATCGTCTTCGTTGTCGTCGTCTCCTTCTTCGATGACAGTCGCACTGTAGCGGTCGCTGGCAGTGGTGCTGGTGCCGTAGACGTCTTGGTCAAAGTGTCCCGTGGAAGAGAGGCCGACGCCCACGTGCTCGTCCTTCTCGGCCATAGCGCGCGAGATCGTTGTCGCTCTTGGACGGCGTGCGAAAGAACCTTGAAACGGAACGGAAAAACCTCGACTGGAGGAGGGGAGGGGGTCCGTGTGTTTGATGTGAACCACGCTAGTTGAGAGGGAAGAAGCGGTAATCGAATGCCGAAAAAGGGGAGTTGCAGTAGGTCACGACGATTAATTCCATACCAGAGGAACGCTTGATGAAGTATTCGACATCAGAGAGCTCGCACGATGTCTGGATCTTATCAACGGATCTAGATTGTAGTAAGATAGAAGACAGCATGGTTGGGAACGTTACTACAGAGCGTTCATCTCGATAGCACTTGCACCAGTAGTTTGGAGTGTATGCTCAATTTCAGTATCAGCGCTGAGTGATTTGCATTTTGGATCGTACCCCACCGTTTCACAGCTCTGGTGGAATATTGCTAGCTTGCTGAGCACCTACCACTCGCAATTAATTTGGCGATCATGCACTAAGTAGCATGGTCACGACAGCATAATGTGAATTTTGGTGTAATTTGGGGAAATTGTGATCTCCCGTCATTGCCATTCGATTGCAAAACCAGAAAAAGACGCCTGGTAGCGTATCTATAGGCGTTGTTAGATCCTGTTTAGCGTTATTTAAGAATCAAAGTGCTCAGGTATAGACTGCTGTATGCTCAGCTTTTCGAATAACCAAGAAGCAAACAAATGCCAGTGATATTGACGAAAGCAGTGTGATGTAAACCTTGTTCGGTTAAGATGATTGAATTTGACACAGCATGCGCACCTGAGAACAAGATTATCGAAAAGATACAGCACGTCCACGCAAACTGTGTAAAATCCAAGAAACCGTGACACTTCTTGAGCTATGCGTAAGGAGGCAGCAACTAAAACAAAGCAACGTGTGCAGACATTTAGCCACGTCAACATGACCACTTGTGGTATGTTGGTCTAGCTAGCTCTTTGTATCACTGAACAATTCTTGAGGTGACGTGTCTTTGCATTAGAACACGAGGTAGATAGATCGATAGGCTATTCGTACTACACCGCTCTGGATGGTAGCATTGGTTATGCAAGCAGACGAATGCGTGTAATCTGGTTCCGCTGATGGATAGAGAAGACAGCACAGATCTAGCTGGGCAAAGCCGACTTTCGTAAGGCCTCAGCACAACCCAAACGCTGTTTTCATTGCAGCTGAGGCCTTTTAAATATTCTTTGATCACTTGATTTATGCCGTCTTCTGACACACGACTCTAATGGTCGTCCGTTAATCAACAAAGCGCACCTCTCAAGCCGACCATCAACTCGTCATACAGGGGTTCGGGCTGACCTCGAGGAACCTGATTATCTCGAGACAGGAGTCTGCGCGTAGGCGCTCTGCTGTGCGAGGACTAGCGCAACCTAGTATATAAAGTAGCGGTCGATTAGGTAACTTTGTTGCCGGATGACAGGATATAGCAGGTCGTACGCGTACCTAAATATACCTCACCTTCTCACTAATCAACAAAGCGCTCGACGAGTAATTTCACCTAAGGTCAGTCAGTATCTGTTGCATACGCTAAAGTCAACGAGGCTGTACTCCGTACTGCATGATACCCAAAGATACCAAAGCAAAAACTGTCCCCTAACTGCTTTGTGAGTGTAGTATGAATAAAAAGCCCGCGTAGCTGGGAAATGAAAGAGTGAACATGTCGTATCGTTGTTGGTCTGTGAGATTTTTGCTGTCGAGATCTATTCATGGTTTTGATTAGCCTTATAGACCTTGCTAAGGTTTCCTAGGTATCCATAGAGTCTCTCGGGGCGATACTTTCGGGCAAATTCACATTTGAGGCGCACCGCAAAACTCGACAAGAGACGTCAATAGACCCTTCACAACAACACTGCTATCCATTTACCGCACGAATTAATACTTGCTGTAACGGGGCACCCTTTGTTTGGGTGCCACGAATCTTTTCGTACACTTATACGTGCAGAGGAAGCTAATCTAATCAACAACTATGTTTAGTAACGGGTAAAAAGAGAACTGTATTCAATTTAGTTCAGCTATCAATTTAACTTAGGTCAAACTACGCCGTCGCATGTCGACAACCTGCTCACCACTCATTGCGCGCGTCTAGCAGCGATTGGTGGTAAACTATGGTTTACATGTCTTTTATCAACCAATCTTTAAGCAGTGCATGAATGTTACCCTGAAAGCGGGTAATATTTCCTCGATATTATCCATCTCGGATCATATTGGCAGGGAATTGTCATGCTTAAACAATATCACTATTGACAACGTTTCGTGTCAATTTCATGTAACCGGCTACCCCGTTACATCACCCCCCCCTTAAGCATCAATTCCCCATTGATCGAATAGATTTGATCAAGACAGGGTGACCACCGTTAGATCACTCTGGGAAAGAGAGCCCTTGTTGGTCGAATTCCATTCATTTGCCAATCCAACGCATGGTTTTATAACTTAATCGAGCTGCTACTGCAGCATCAAGAAAGGCGGCTGCACGCATGCGTGCAGCACGGAGAGAGTACTTCTCACGCCTCGGCAGCAGGTAATTCGTCGCCAGTTATTGTAAACAGTCCACGTGATTAGTCACCACGTGCGACAGGTACATCCGGTGCGTCTGCAGCGTATACCGCGAATCATAATCTAGATGAGTCTGAAATAGAGTTCATCTATTCTGGCGAGTCGGGAGATGTATCCAACTCGAAGGCGACACGTCACGCCTCCGGATTAACCGGGGCGGACACTGCAAGAGCCAGGTTGACTGGCTCTGGTCAACGTGGCGGCATCACGCTCGAGATCTTCGCATCGAGCGATTGCTCCAAGGAATTCATGACTCACGCGAGTCCATCCAACGATAGGACGTGCAGGGATGGTGGTGATGCACCTATACCTCACCACGAGAGAAGCAACTCGATAGATCGAGCTGCCACTGGTGTCAGTGATCATGCTGACACCAATCAAGAGGCCAGAGACCGAAATGTCCTGCGCCATGCTCCTTAAGTGGAGTCTTCTTGGATGCCGTCATCCAAAGAGTTGGACCGGTTGGACGGTATGACTGCCGAACGGGATCGAATTCCGTTGTTCGACTGTAGGAAGATTTGCCCACCTAATTCCTGCACGGAAACTATCCGTGCTGAGAAAGAGTTCTTCATCGATGCATTTTCAAACATCAGTGGTACGATGGAAGCCGTGTTTGAGACGGAAAGCCCTCGGTGAAAGGATGCCTGGATAAATCGAACCGTGCCCCTAGAGAGGCCTACCTCCCTAATGATCATTACTGGAAGGCGCGCATCTCTTCTGAGATGGTCGAAGGGATTGGCACTTTGCAATCCCTGCTTTCACGTTCGGGGGGGGGGTCGTTTTCCGACGACCCTTTTACGAACGCAGCGGGTGGGTCTCGTCATATTGCTCGACGAGACCCAGGACATCAACGATCAGCTGAGCACGAGGCTCCCAGCTATCCCAGGCCGGTGGATAGCCACGCCAGCGGACGAGCCAACTCGTCGGACGCTGGACGCCATTCACGTCGCGGTGGTTCAAATTACACGCCACTAGAAGCGTTGACCACCGCCTGAGTCCACCAAAAGATGTGGTGACGGCGGGAACCCCTGATCTGGCTCGAGGGTCGGATAATCTTGATGTTCAAGAGCTAAACCTTGTTACGGATCAGTTGCAAGATGACCTGTCTCATGAACGGACTTGGCGTTACAAGCACTATGACCTTGTAAAGGATAATTACAATTCCTTAGCGCACGATCGTTCGAGCGATCGTGCCGCGTTTGCGTTCGCGCAACTTGAGAACGAACGTTCGACTCGTTCTCTTCGTGACGAGCTGACTGCAGCTCGTCAAGACATCGCTCAACTGCGTGAACAGGTCACTTCGCTAGTCGACCAGACTAGCTCGTTTAAAGGGGACCACTCGAAGGTGGTCTCGGCTCTCGGCCGCGGAGGTGTTCTTCGCATCTCGAAACGGGCTCGTTCTGATAGCACGGGCGGATACGACCGACGTAAAACGTAGATAGCGTACGCATCCTACGAGGCAGTTCAATCGTGTATGCGTTGCCCATTCGGCGCAACACACGATATGGACCGATGTACCTGGGCAGTAAATTACTGCTGCCCACGTTTGTCACTGTGTGCTTCGGTAAGTTTACTGTAGACGGTAAAACTAAATCTGCTTCATCTAATGGAAGAACATTTTCTCTTCCATGTTAGTCTGCGCTTCTTTTCTGTCTGTCTAGTAAATCTGAAATAGAGACTTGCATGAAGCGGACTACGCTTCGCGAGTCAGCAGAAATTTCTCTGCTGATTCATCCTTGTCAACAGCAGTGTGCTTCTTGTGCACTGCTGAAAGTACGTTGTCTTCACCAGTGAGGGCGTCATCTTCCTCACTGTGGCATTCATTGGCGATGCTGAATGTACCAGCATCGTCGTCATCATCATCATCGATGTCAAACGCATCTACATCGGCATCCACCACGTCGACATCATTGTCGACGGGTGATGAGCAGGTACCGGATCGGTTTTCGTTCGAGCGAGTCCACCCCCTCTTTTGAACTAGAGTCACACTCTAAGAAGGCGGGTAAACGTGGATGGCGTAGGCCATTCGCGTTTAACGGTGTATGCGCTGTTTGCGCATGCACTGAGTTGTTGATGGCGAATTCCTCCATCGGCAAGAACTCATTCCAACTCGTAAATGAGTGGACATTCCTTCAAAGTATCTCTTCGAGGACGCGAATTACGCGTTCCGTCTAACCATCTGTTTCGGGATGGTCAGAAGTCGACATTTTCAAACGTGTTCCAAGTAAACGGAACACGGATTGCCAGATCTCCGCTGTAAAGCGGGTGTCCCTATCAGACACGAGTTCACGGGTAACCCGTGAAGTCGGAAGATAGTATCCACGAAGAGACGCGCACAGCCCTGGGCTGTGAGTGACTCCGGTACAGCAACAAGATGTACAATCTTGCTGAACCAATCAACAAACACAAGCATACCAGTATTCTTGTGAACGTATTTAGGAAACCCGAAGACGAAGTCCATCGATACGGACTACCAGTACTTTGCCGGAATCGGAAGAGGCTGCAAGGGTGCGCGGGATGAAGGACTAGGCTTCACTCGTTGACAAACTTCGCAAGCGCGAATGCATTTGCGCACAAACTCATACTGGCGGGGTCAGTAGAAGTCACGACTCACCGTGAGGAAAGTCTATTCTACCGCGATGCCCACTTGTTTGGGCATCGTGAAACTCATACATTATGCGCAGTCACAAATCATTATGAGCGGGAACGACGACACGAGGTGTGTCGCCGTTGCCTGCTTTATAGTTAAGCAGGCCATCACGGACAGAATACCGTTCGGTTGAAGAGCGGTATCGAGACGACAAGCTTTTCAAAGCTTGACTGTATGGATTAGCTAGACAATCCATCAACCACAAAAGAGACTCATCTTCTGCGTATGCTTTTCGCACGTCGTCGAGCAGACTCGACGACGGAGCACTTACTGATAGTGTTGTAACAATGGGATCATCCTTACTGTTGGGTTGATCAGTCGGCTCAAAATAGGGCCGACGCAAAAGATCATTAGCGAAGCCATTGAGTCGTCCTGGTTTATAATCGACGGAGAAGTTGTACTCCGCGAATAAAGACCGCCACCTCGCCATTCGTTGCGAGATGTGTGGAATTTTTACAGCCGTGCGTAACGACGCAGAGTTGGTAAAAACGATGAAGGGACTATCTCCCAAGAGATATACCATAAAACTTGGCCAGTGCATATTTCACGGCAAGGGGTTCCTTGTCATGCACCGGGTAATTTCGCTCAGCTACTTGCAGCTGACGCGATTGATAACAGACGACGAGCTCAATGCCGTCTGAGTCGTACTGCATTAACGCGCAGCCGATCGCAAAATCGCTGGTGTCACAGACGACATGGAATGTTCTTTCCTGATCTGCAACCGCCAACGCAGGCGATTGTATCAATTTTTTCTTGATACCTTTGAAGGAGTGCTGACACTCAGGGCTCCGTGACCGCATCTCGTTTTTCTTTAGTAGACGAGAGAGCTGCACAGTCATCTCGGTATAGTTGCGCGAGTATTTGTGCAAATACGCTGCCAAGCCAGGGAACCTTCGAAGTCCCTTGGAGTCGACTGGCACAGGCCAGTCGCTAATCGCCTTGATCTTTTCCGGATCAGGGCGTACACCGTTTCTACCCATGATGCAGCCAAGAAGTGGTATTTTGTTCGCTGCGAATGCACACTTCTTGAGGTTCGCGAACAACTTTTGCTCTCGCATAAGCGTAGGAACCTTCTGGACGTGGATTCTATGAGCCTCCACGTCCGTCTTTCCATCCACAGTTCGGATATGGACGAAGGCATCGTCGGAATAACTCGGTGCGAAGTCGCGCACCGATCGCAACAGGTTCGTAACAATTCTGTTAAAGGTTGCAGGGGCGTTACTTATCCCCTGTGGCATTACTAGCCACTCCCATAGCATACCACTGGGGGTGCTCACTGCTGTGTACGGGATGCCCCGTTCACGCATGAGGACCTTATAGAATCCAATCATCAGATCCATGGACGAAAAGATGGTACTTTTTTCCATGTCATCTATGATGACATCCTTTTTGGGATCGGCGTTTGAGCCAGTAACTTTGCAGCATTCTTTTCTTTGGAACGCGTGCACTATCCGCCACCCTCCTGTGGCCTTTCGCACACAGAAGGTCGGAGAGCTGTGTGGGGATGTAGAAATCCTCACATGACCAGCCGCTATTGGATCGGCAAAGAATTTGTCGATCGCTGTTACCTGTTCACGAGGAAGTGGCCACTGCTTCATGACACAGTATTTCGAACCAGGTTTCAGTTCAATCTCATGCCGAGTGCCTTTGTCTTTGGGCAGCTCGCGTGGCACGGATTCCGGGAAACATCCCTGAATACCACCAAATCCTTATACAAAGGATTTGTCTCTAAATACTCCCAAGATTGAGACGCACATCGCTCAATCTGAGTCTTCTCATCGAGGTCAATCTCGTCCATCGATGAGCTACTAAAATTTTGTTCGTTCTAAGCAAACACTTGTTATGACCGAATATCGGCGACGTACTCGACCTCTGTGACGAGTACGACCTGCTTGATCTTGTCACTACGCAGATCTCGCAAGATTTTCTTAGATTCTAGCGTTGGCAACTTGACCTCCTCCGAAGCTGACTTTGGGCGCGTAACCAGATCAAGTGTATAAGCGCCTACACTTGATCCGTTATTCACCAAGACATTCACTGACCCGGTAATTTCCTGGAAAAAAACAATCCGCAGGTGGTTGGGGATCCACACCCTCAACATAAATCTCTCGGGAGTTATCACTCTCAGAAACTCCGGAACTTTCTTCCATTACATGTACTGACCGTGTGTGTACTACCACAGTCACGTCCTCTTCAGTTGACTCTCTTTCAGTCGATCGGGCTTGCTCTACGATCGACTCTCTAATAGTTGATCTCGCTTCAACGTGTCGTCCAATCTGAACAACACTACTCTTTCTTCTCGGATGCACCCTTCTTGGTGTGCATCCGTGTTCCAGTCCACTCGATCTCTTCGAGTGGTGAACCTTCGGCGCAGACTGTTTCTCTACTCAGGTGCCGGAAGCTGGTTCCACAGTGTAGTGGCCTTCTACACTGTGATCTTGTGCAATCGTACTAGCGACCGTACCACAAGTGAGGCCATCGCACTCACATGTAGTACATACACACGCTTGTGGACACCTCCAAAACGTTTATCAGATGGCTATCCGATGAACAAACGGCAGGCATCTTCACGGATCGATGCTGCCATCTGATCCATGGCCGGTATTTTCTAAGCCATGGCAGACCGAGGATGACATCAAATTTTTCATCCAAATCTAGTACGATGTATTCATCATCGTACTGCTTTCCTTCTAGCGTGTAGTGGATTCCCACTGTACGCTTATTCACTGTTACGGATGCGCCTGTAGCAAGGCACACCGTCCTTCTCGTTGTAGGGAACTCTCGCTTAGCACAGTTGAGTCTACTATCCCTTAGCGACTGACGTCGAATAAAACTGTTCGACGCCCCACTGTCAACTTGGGCGCGAAGTGACATTCCACTTGTCACTTCGATATTCAAAGTGATGAGAGACTCCTCATCACTAGGGGCAGTAACACACAGAGACTGTGTGTTGGAAGCAAACTTATACAAGAGTCCTGCAAATTCTCTTGACGGTGCTGGATCAGCAGGGTGCTCCGCCCCTACTGACCCTGACCGTTTTTTGACGGCCCGACTTGCTGTTAATTAGCGACATGGTCGTACCCACGCCTCGGAACTTTCCTTGGCCAACGGTGGTCATCACTTCCTGTCTTTGGAAGTGTAATGGTGCTCGGGACACTACACTCATGAGCGTAGTGTCCAATATTCTGACAGCGGTGGCATCTTGCCGTTCGCTTGTGACTCAGAGAGCGAGGTTTCTCGCTCTCGATGTAACAGAGGTCCATTGGTTCTGGACCTTCTGTTTCCTGTCATCTCGTCGGAAGATAGTTTTACAAGTTAGCCTGAGACTGTCTCAGGCTGAAGTTTTCTTGTTCCGCAGACGCTATCGCCCTTTCCAGCGTATGGAAGTCCTCTCGGAACATGTAGGTCTTCACCAGCCCATCTACAATGCCGTAGATGAACACGTTGATTAGCTTGTGCTCATCAACAGGGGTTTCCGTAACGCTGCTCGCAAGCTAGCGCAGGTGCTGTGCGTAAGCATGCACATCACGCTTACCTTGCTTTAGCCTCAGGAGTGCAGAGCGTGCTCTGAACTTAGCTCTCGGCGGCTCAAACGTCTCTACAAGCCGAGACTTCAAGATTTCCAACGACCCAAACACGTTTGGGTCGTCAAGCTTGAGCCCTAAGTCCCAAGTCTTTGCTCGTCCAGTCAAATTTGACAGGGCGAAGGTGACTTGCATCTCGTCACCCTAGATGTGACGGGCCCTGATGGCGTCGTCTTACTCAACGAACCATCTCAATAGGGAATCTTCACCGGTTTCCTTGTACCTTAAGATATCGATCTTCAAGTTTTCGGGTCGACGCATGTGCGTCGGCCCTCCCATCGACTGATGAGAGCCTTGCTGTTGTAGCAAAAATATCTTCTGTCGTTCGACGGCAAGTTCCCCTTGTAAGAACTTGTTGACAGCAGCATGTTGCTGGTCTCTGCTTAGAGACGCCAACATGCCACTGATGGCCGGTTCGCCCATGGGCACACTCATGGCGCCGACTACGTCCCATTCTGAGTCACTCAGATGAGAGTAGCTTTCACTTTTGACGTGAAAGCTGTCGTCTTCTACGTCCAACATTTTCATGTTGGACAGACACTAAACAGTCGTTGGACGGACTAGGAAGTGCTACCAGGTGTAGCGGGGCACCCTTTGTGTGGGGTGCCACGAAAATTCACGTACACTAGTACGTGCAGAGAAAGCTAGTCCACGCAAACAGCTAGTATAAGTAAAAAGGAAAAAAAGATCTGTATTTGATATAGTTAAGCTATCAATTGAACTTTAATCAATCACGCCGTCGTATGACGACAACCTACTCACCACTTATTGCGCGCGTCTAGCAGCGATTGGCGGTAAACTATGATCTATATGTCTTTTATCAACCAATCTTTAAGCAGTGCATGAATGTTGCCCTGAAAGCGGATAATATTCCTTCAATATTATCCGCCTCGGATAATATTGGTAGGATTATGTCATGCTTAAACAATATCACTATTGACACCGTTTGGTGTCAATTTCATGTAACGGGCTACCCCCTTACAGATGTGATATTTTCCTACGTGTCAAAGTAACGGTTAAATACACTGGACAAAAAAGAGGGAGTTTGCAAGGGCTGCTTTGGCGAGCTCAACTCAATCGCTTCCGGACATTCTATCTTCCTGTAAATTGACCACAAAGCTGTATGTAGCTTCTTTTGGTCCTGATCGTGCCAATTCGATATGTTCTTGAGTCACTGTGTGTACAAAGTAGCTGAAAATGAGGTAGTTTATTCTGCGGAGCATCAGTACCTACTTCACATACCAACTGCCGACAGATTGCTTGTCCGTTGTTGGTAAGCCCGACGTTATTGTACATAAACTAGTACGCAGTCCAGCAGGATCTTTTCTGTGTAAGAGCATTGATCCTAGGGCTATCGTGACCTTCTAGGGTCTGCTCTTGTATTGGCCGCCCGGGACACTGTTTTGTCTGCAACAGGAACACAGGTAATTCACTGAACTAACATCGAATTACGAGCCAAAATAAGATAGAAACAGTTGAAAAAGATAGGAGAGCAATCTATGGAGCTCGCCCTCTGATAAAAGTAATCTAGCTTGGAATTGAGTTGCAAAACAGTCTACAAGAGCAGTCACTGAAGAATGTTTTGATGCTGTAGATGTCTGTATTAGCCTAGCACAGTTGGCTGGGGCAGCGCGATCGGCTTTTGCTTATGATTGTCCAGCATTTGCTAGTGTGATCAAATCCACCTTTGATCAATTTTAAGCCAATCCTGTGCGTGCAGCACGATAGTGACCTAGCCAAAGAGTGAACCCTATCATGCGAATCAACACATGAGGGGCACAGGCTACATCGCACTTAGCACGTGTTAGGTAAACCTCACCGCGTTTTTTCCAGACGCACAGCTTACACAGACATACGCATAAATTGACAAGTAGATTAAGAAGTTCGGCAATCAATTTTGCACACACTCTGAAATGGGGTAACACGCGTTGATTTGAACCGTTTATGTCGTGTGTCCACAACAAGTAAAAGATCGGTGGATCTGAGTGGTACAGTCTTGGTACCACGTACAGACGGTAATACCGCGCCTTATCGGTTAGGGATAAGGGATAAGACTTCTGTCATAGGATCGCAATGTAGAAGTCATTCAGACAAGGTTTTAGGTTTTTATCACCGTAGTTAAAGAATGAATAAAGTTCAGTTCCCCCTTTTGAATTGTTGGACGGTAGTGAACAGTCAAGGCATAGCGTGTTGTAAGAGTGTTAGCCTTGTGAATGCGTTTACTCTTGTTTAACTAGTATGACGAGTTAGTGTGTGATTCTGTGAATCGTAATCTTTTGGAACCAGAATTGTTAAGCTTGTACGCTTGAACGACTGTACGTCGTGGTTAGCTTGTTATAACTAAAAGTATCTTTGAGTCTAAGACTTCCTCTGTTAAGGAGCGCTAAGTAGCTCCGCTACACTTGGTAACACTTGTAGTCAATCTACACTTGAGTCTTCACAGACTGGATCCTCTGTGAGGATGGGGAAGGCCATGAATATCTTTGAGGCCCATCAGATCTCGCTTGAGAAGCTCACAGGGTTGATAGGACACGATAAATTGGCTCTTTTAGTTTCGCAAGGCCCGGACGCACTTCGTGCATGTCTCGAGGCCTTCTCGAGCTTTAGGTCCACGTTGATCGTACAGCTCCGTGACTATTTGGCATCTGCCATGCCCACTCGGTATGTTCCAATTCCAGACACTGAGTCAAGGAATCGCCCTCTGGTCTTAACTGTCAAGGCTTTTGAGTGAAAAAAAAGGATAATCTCCTTTTGTGGGTTCGTGAGATGGAGGTTGCCATCAACTCGGCCTTGCTGCAGTCTGAGCAGCATAAGGTGGGCCTGGCTTTATCTAAATTAGGTGGCTGAGCGAGGGAGTGTGCGTTCACTTCTGGCACCTCGATAGACGAGGCTTTTCCCACCTGAGACATGCTAAAACAGCAGCTATCTCGGGTGTTTGCCCCGCCTAATCAGACATATCGCGTGCGATCACGCTTTCTGTTAGCCCGCCAGGGTAAAAAGGGCTTAGTCAATTATGTCCAAGAGTTGCGAAGTCTAAGTGCTGCTATGCAACTTGACCCTTACCAGAGACGGTTTTGGTAGCCATTTTTATGGAGGTTCTTTGCGCTAGCGTTGATGGAACGGAAGCGTTTCGTGCACAACCCTCGACAATTGAGGGTACAGTGGACATAGCGTTGAATGCGAAGGTTAACTTTAGAGCTGCCTGTTACGGGACTCATGCGTTCCAATCAAACTCGTCGAGTAAAGCTCATCTTTTGTATCGGGCAGAAAACCTGGATCTTAGTCTCGCTGATAGAGACGAAGAAGCTGAACTCTTTGCTTTTAAACAGCATTCGAACATCCGTAAAATGTATTACGTACGGAAGCATAAAAGATATTCTCCCCAGTTTATCTCTGAAAGGACCAGACAGGCTCATTTAATTGAAAGTCCCGTCGCTAACCGACGAGTTGGTAAGGCACGGGAAAACGTCGAGTCCCAGTAGGCGCGGTGCGCCCTGCCGGTCAACATCTAGGCTCAAATGTACCGTGGAAGGTGATAAATAACTCGGCCAAGCCTAAGTGGCTTCGTGAGCTATGTCACGAAGCATGATACAAGCCGTTATTGTTAGTTGTAAAAGCAGAAGTTAAGGGCTTTGGTTAGTTCTGGTAGATGTTGATTGAATCCGGGGCGTCTAGATATAATGTCGAACGTTGTTACCTGGAATGATGTCAGCAGTATGCTGCGGCGCTGAAAGATCAAAAGAGTGAGACTATCACCACTCATTTGGCTACAGGTGCATAATTCACTGTGCCTAGATTCCTGTAATATTAGGCGTAAAGTTTTCGGACTTTGACAGTATTGGTCTAGTCCTTTACTTGGAGGAGAGATATGATCTCATCTTTAGCATGGCTTTGCTAGAGCGACATTACCATGGATTGATTGAAGGTCAAAAAATAGGCGCAGCGCGCACTGTTACTAGTGGGGGTTTGGAGAGTCATGAGCCCACCTTTGCTAGGAGACAGAAACCCTATTGGCGCGAGCCACGGACCGAGACAGTCAGTGCGCTGGACATTGATATGGCTGAACTCGTTGAGTTGGGCGATGTCAAAAACGTTAGTTACGAGCCAAGCTCAACGACTGTTAGTCAGACGGCACGTACTTCGTCGAGTGGTAATCGTTGTGATAATGAATCACTAAATGCTGGATGCATTGTTGGCCTAGATCCAAGTCATCATGGGTTGAACCCATCTGGTGAGTATGGAGTGGCACGTAAGTACCCACTGAGTGATGTTGGCCGTGATTGCGACACACTGATATCGGTCAAGACATTGTTGGTGAAACACCAAGTCATCAAGGGCGAGGATCATTTGATTAGCGTGAAGTGGCACGTAAGTACTTACTGGGTGGAAACCTCACTGGAAGTGACTCATCACCGTATGTCGGTAATACAATCGAACAGAGATCAACTCAAGGTTGACGTGGTTCTTCACCTTGGGGAAAGCGTAGCCCCTGATGTCGGTGATGGCATCGGCCCGCTCTGATATTGGGCAAACTAATGTTGACGCACTCCGTCTTCTTGGGGGCGGTATAGTCCCGGATGTCGGTAATGACATCGGCTCTGGTAATGATCAACTTAAGGTTGACGGATGTGTCAATCTTGGGGACATTGATCCCGGGTGTCGGTACTGACACCGGCTTTTGTGCAGATCAAGTAGGATGATGGCGATATCAATTTTGGGAACGAGAAAGTTCCAGTACCTCTTAAACGTTCAGTCTCGTCACAGAGACGAAAGCGACGACAAAGTGATTTTATGCAACGCAAGGCGTCTGTAACGTCACTGAGTGGTACTAGCGAGAAGCTATATATGCACTCGTTAATGGAGTGACTGGTGCCGTAGATGGGTCAGTGAGTCTTGAGACTCTACCCAACTGAATACTATGTGAGAGCTAGACCATATGTCTGTCATCGAGTTTGGCCTGAACTTAAAGTCGGGTATTTCATCTGAATTGGTGGCCATTAGATTCGATAGTAAGCTGCACTCGTCGTCACTTCTTAATGAAGCTGTCTTGGAAGGCACAAAGGCGGCACTGAGTGCTCGAAGTGGATCATCGATCTTGAAAGATCCTAAAGACCCGTTTGATCCTTTGGTTAAAAGAGTTTTAGGATGTGGTATGTCACGATCCACCCTCCACTCTGCCTCCTGATCGAGGCGTACGTCATGAAATTGACCGAGTTCCTGGAACCAAATACTGTGTGACACAGCAATGGCTCCTACCAAAAGAGCAGTGTGACGTCATTGACGAGTTCTTTCGTGCAAAGCATGCGGCTGGCATGGTGCGTGAGAGAAAGCCTACGCATTCGACACAGCCATTTTGTGTCAGGAAGCCTAATGGAAAGTGGCGCATTGTGCATGTTTACAATAAGCTTAACGCAGCCAATCTACCGGCACAGACAGCATTTACTAGAAAGTATGTTCTTCAGAACCCTTTTGTAGGTTGGGTCATGTTCAGTGCACTCGATTTGGCCGATGGATGTTATCAATTTCTT